CTACTTGCCTAAAAGAGTGTTTTGTGCACTCCCGTCCTTTCATGCACCTTCTCCACGGATATATTTTCTCGGCCTTCTCGGTGGCTTTTTCGGTTGTTTGGGGGTTACTTGCGGCGGTTCGGGTACGCACTGTCTGTGTGAGACGGATCGAATGCGATGTTTTGTCTCCCATCTTTCTTTGATTTTTTCCTTAGCTATCCCTTTTATTCTCACTACCCCAACCCCTGTGCCGCCTTGTGTTGTCATGGAAATGATAGACAGTTACGGGCGGCACTTTTCACTTTTTTTTCCTTATTATAATGACTTAGCAAATTAAAGATGGCTGCTCTTGTTTGCATCTTGAGTGTGTGGTCACGAACATCATAAATTTTTTCATAGCAATCAACGACGCCGATGCCGGCAATTCTGCGAATTTAGCTTTTAAACGCAGTCACAATAAAGTTTGGAACCGGTGAGTATGCACTGAAACACCTTCAATTACGCACGAACGGTGATTCGACCCGAAGTGGCCTTGAACAAGAGCGCGGTGAGGTGTCTGCGCGCAATTTTTCTTCTCGGCTAGTGGAGTTTCACTACAGAGGGCACGTCCGTGCTGCGCCCGATAAAGCCCCTTGATCTACTACTAAGTGGTTCTTAAGAGAGAAAGGAAGAGAAAAGTGAGCCCCGTAACTGTCTGCTTCAGCGAGCGACACATCAACAGTAGCTCACAAGGGATGGGGGTGAGGAGGGATTAAAATGGTAGAAGTAAAGGTGTAGAAAAGAGGAAGAGGCTTGAGGTGGTAAGCCAAAGAGAACAACGACAAATAGAGGAGATAGGAGAGATAGGAAAGATGCAAACACGGTCATAGGAGTCCGAGGACGGGGCACCACTTGCGAGAGCTCTTGTCGGCGAGGTCACAGAGCAAGTCCAGTCGGTCAGGGCTACACTGTTGTCGAAGGTCGTCAGCGTCAGGAAATGACGTAGGGCGAGCCCAGTCGGCTAGAGCTACGCTGACGCCGGAGATCACGAGGGCACACCGGTCGGCACAAAATACAGCAAGCGAGTCCTACACAAAATCAAGGGGCACTCCCTTGCTGGCCCCTTTTGATCTTGGGAAGGTACCGCCATCCACTGTACCCTGTGCCACGCGCTCGACGTCCTCTTTCCCTTCTTGCCCCACTTCGCGTCCTCCCAGTCTCCGACACCTTTCACTTCCCGATGATTGGTCTGCGCGGTCCGCAGTCCGCGAAGATCCGCGGTCTCCTCTTTGAGACGCGCGGATCTTGCGCATTGCTTGTTTTTCTTTTTCGCTCGCACGATTTTTGCCGACGCTCCGCGTAACAAACGTAGCGGGCGCTTTGTTGTTTTGTGCTTTGTGCAGACGCTATGCAATGCTGCTACGCCTATGGCTACAATAACCACAGTAGAAATGGTCGCGCACCTTTTATGATACCCCAAGGTAAACGCGATTGCTAGCGCAAGCTACAACGGCTCCACAACATCCGCTGAACAAACTTCGTTCCGACAAAGAACAGTGTACTTTGCAAGGTAAGACGCCTTTCTTCTTGCTTGTGTTGAAGTATCACCGAATGCTGCATTTGGAATACTATTTCGGCCTGCTCATTAACACACGCGTTTTTAGAGGCAAAACTCCCTACGCCGGGAGTCATGTCCCCTGTCGTCGCAGTCGTCGTAGTAGCCAGTTGCATTGCATTGGATGTCAATAAAAAACGGTGTCACAGCATATCCTATGATTGAATAATAATGATTGAGATGAAGCCTCCGTCAGTCGCCCCATACATCTGTGCGTCCATGCGTCCGTCTGTCCGTGTGCGCATTCATCCGTTCATCCATTCATCCGCCCGCCCGTCTGCATGCTTTACCCCCGTCGTCATCATTCACCTCGTGGATATGCTGCATATGCTGCAATTTTTTTTTCGGCTATTTGTGCATTGCTTCAAACTGGAGTTGTCATCTACATGCCAAATTTCTTCGTTAGAAACGAGAAAAAACATCAATCATTTACGTTTTTATACAAAATTATGTCAGGAAAAGTTGCCTTATATGTAACTTGATGCGTTTAGCCAGCCGCTGCTAGGAATACCCGCTGTGCGCATGATCGATCCTTTGCACCCATATTTGCACGCTTGCAAATGCAGTTATTTTCCCAAAACACTTGACAACTGCAGTTGAATGCCTCATGAGATTTTTTTCAGCTGACAATTGGCTATATCGCTGGAACGGTGATTAGAGTGGTAAATTGTGTTATACAATTTGTTGCTGTTTCACAAACTTGTGAAAGCGTATGGATAAATGTTTTTTTTTCTGTTACGAATCACTTGATGTTTCTTATGCCCCTCCTGACCAGATGAGAATGCCAATCTGTAGTATGTATAAATAAATAAAAATAAAATAAATAAAATACATAGCTCATACTTTGTCGCATCACAAGCACCTCGGTAATCGCATAAAATGCACAACTGTAGTCTTTCTTCGCTGCAAACAGTTACGTGGGATGATTCAGCTTCTCCACCGCGACTTTTCTGACTGTTAGGAATCGTTTACGAGAATCTTTGTTGGAGAAAACAAATGAATATATTATTAGAGATGACACTACTTGGCGTTCTTTTCATAAGGGCATTTGTTTTGTTTTCTTTGAGGGATTCATACACCAAAATCATGAAAGAGATGCGGTCCATCAAAAGAAGAAACGAGTACAGACACACACCACAAAAATAGCTATAGCACAGTGATAGTGAAATCGAGCCATTTTCTAGGAGACTGTTGTCGCTATCCACGCACAGATGATGATGATATTCCTGTTGCAGAGTTTCTCCTCTCGCAGGTAGCCCGATCGCTAGTTTCGTTGACAACATCAAAGCACAGTTCTAATTCAACATTTTCTTATGTTGCTGTTATTGTGATTGATGAATCACTGTCGGTTACACCTAATCATTCCGACATTGTTTAAAGCCCCTCTTCAGTTTGGATACCACTGCGCAGAGCTACTTTCACGCTGCGAAGATAAACACATGGCTAAACGATCCACCAACCACGAAGTCATTGCATTATGTGATGTTGTCAGTGCCTTTGTTGTATACTAGCACAAGCACGAAAAAAATCCAAACACAGACGGACATGTCACAAGCAGAACTACATCAGATGCAAACGTACAGCTTGCTATCATGTGTTATAGAGCATCCGCATCGTAGAAAGCCTCATAAAAACTTTCCTTTAATATTCATGTCCCACTTCTACAACCTTTGAAAGACCCTAATCCTCTATTAAACGGTTGCCTCAGTGTTCCCCATTTTATTACCAACATTAAAAAAAATCAGCACTACTGTGGTGCGCAAGCTGCCGTGAATAACCCGCCTCCATTGAATTCTGCGACACGCCCGCGGGAGCGTCGATCGAGGAGGAAACGCGCGCGTAAAAGAGAGTGCCAGTGCACGATTTCGTGATGGTTTCAGAACGCCCCAGCGGGAGCAGTTTCATTTCCTCAACTATTCTTTTTCCGAGGTAGAGTTCAAAAGAAAGTATAAATAAACGCTGCCTGCCAATGAAAGCAGAGAAGTTAAAAGAACGTTCGATCATGGCAACAATGGGTTTCGGCTCAGTTTAAAAGTACCAGCTAATCTTTGCATTCAAAAGTTGATGCTGAAACCTGGTAACAAACCAGGGATCATTAGACATCCACTGACAGAGTTACCCGCTGGTCAGTGAGGGTAACACCGCATTGCAACAGAAGACAAAAGCAGTATACAGAAACACAAAATCAGGGTAAACACAGCACATCTACGGAGTGACTGATGAGTGTGGTAAAGCTTCGGAGGGTTTTACCGGATAATCGTCATTGATCTGTCATTCTTCCGTATGTCTGTTTGTCTGTGAGTCTGTCCGTCTGTCAGTCTGTTCGTCTGCCACTCTAACCATACGTCCGCACCTGCTGAGTGAGTCATCGAACTAGGCGGTCGCGTACGAGCTAGGCGATACAGACCACGACTTTAGCAGCTTCGCTCCTAAAAGAATTGTGCATCATTTTCGCGTATTTAGCCTTGCCAAATAGAAAAGCTTAAAGTGTATTGGGTAGAGATGCTACTTTTCGGTATTTTGATGGGTTGCTACCTCACGTTGTCACTATGTTTATGTATGGGTTTGTATTATGTGTGAAGCCACGCATAAGTATATATTTATCATCAGCGAGTGAATAAATGTTCAGTTGAGAGTGATCATTTTTGCTTCAAGTTTTATTGTTTTTGTTTGCATTTGTCTAGCTTGTGTTGCCGTTTGAATAGTATGGATGATAATGACGATAATATAATTATCTATCTTGAATAGATTGAGCAGTTGTCCTGCTTTGCTTAGTAAACTGCGTCAAAATATGCAATAACACAAAATATTTTTTGTTTCAGCTCATTCAGGTCATCCTTGGGCTGATTCTTTTCTTGGGTGAAAAACAATTACCAATATGCACATTGGTGTGCCGTACGCTTTACTTTCTGCCTCGATCTCAACAGCCATCGGATGCTTGGTTAACGCGTCCTCTCGCGCTCGGTGAGGGTGCGAGGCAAACTGCAATGTTTTGCTGTGGAGCATGTTGATTTGTAGGCCGGACAGAATCTTGCTGGTGCGCTGTCTCGGAGACCATAGCATATGCTTGGTTGACTCATCTTTTGTAATTATTTCTCGACAACTGGCTTCATTTTTTGTACAATGAACGTATACCCGTACCCTGTGCTAACCATTTCTTGCTAGTTCATTGGTAGACATTGCCCTCTTGTACTGAGGGCTGTCCTCTATACTTATATCGTCAAATGTCCATGCGTTAAAACTTTTTTCACTAATTAGCAAGTTTTTTGCAAATTTCGCCAAACATATGTTGCAATTGTGGTGGTAAGGCATCGCATTCCCTTTCTTGCTTTCCCGCATTGTGCGCAACTCCGTCATGTCTATACAAACTCTGCAAAGGCAACATCGTTTAATATTAGGAACCTGACACTGGCGGTTGTGCACTTGCCTGAACGACGTCAAAGTAGTTCAGCTTCATTTTTCGCAGTCCCTCCTGGACGCTCTTTAGAGTGCGGCTGCCGCTGAAGTCGAACATTCGCTCGCAGTCCAGCTCGTAGCGACCTACCTTTGTGGCCACATAAAATGAATCTCGGGAAATTCCTTCGAGGGCCTGCAAGAACAAAAATGTGATGGAAATTCTTCTGGCAGTGCACACACAGATTTTGTGCCTCATAATTTTTTTTCGTTGTACAAGCCTCCTTGCTGGCCTAGTTGGTACATACCGAAAGACCTAATTTGCTGCGGAATATAATACACCCGAAAAAGCGCAAGTGCATGATGACAGAACGAGCCACCCTTCCAGAAGTGTTGAGGTTATTACACATGAAATGGACAACATATTTGCACAGTCTCATCACAACCTCAGCTGTCCAGCGATGAAGCAGCGTCTTTTCTTATATGCACAGTGTGATAGACGTGTTCCTCCGTTATGTTTGTTTGATACGCCTTCCTCTACCAGCGTGAATTCCGATACTTGCTTCTGTTTAAAATCTTCATCTCTACCAAACCTGGTTGACACTTAGGTTGTTGAATGCACTGGCGAATGCGCCAAGACGTATGTCGTTGAGATCATGCTCTCTGATCATTTATACAACAGCCCGTTTGCCCAAATCATGATTTGTGACAAGAAAGTAGCCTTTCATACACCACGTCTTTTGCACATCTCCGGTACGTCGCGGCAAGTTTTCTGCCACATGCTTGCGACTAGCCTTATTCCTAATGGTTCACGAACACACCTCAGCCATTTAACGGCCGTGGACTATTCAATGCACAGTACATACCAGCTTGCAACGTTTTTTAGGTTATGGAAAACCTTACGTTCATGAAGAGTCACCACAGTTCATACGCTTCCAGTTTCGTTATGATACCTCAAGGCGTGCCGTGTACCGTTACCGTTTGCTTTCCGTTGAGTGCTTTACATTCCTCAATCTATGCCATTCATACTGAGTGGGTGAGCCAGCAGCAGTGGTGACAAGATGTTCATGCACTGCCACTTTAACGTGCAGCTTTTTGTGAGCCTCATTCAATCTTCAATGCTACGCTTGGACAGCGGGGTGCCCCTGTGTGCATCGGAACCGTCAGACGTCTTTGATGATCTCCGTAACAGTATCCAGCCAACCTTGCCTTCTTTTCTGTCGAGAGGTGGCTCTTACCAGCCGCATGATGCGCCTTCGCTGTCCGCGTTAACTCTGTCGTTCTAACCAGCAGTTCCAAGTGCGTCTGGGTAACATCATCAATAATGACTATGAGAGACACTGAAACTACAGCGCTCTTTTAGTGAAAGAGGCAGCAGCAGTGGTTACAAAACGCTCATGCGATGCTTCTTTATAGTGCACGTGTGTTCCTTAGACAACGGCTATTTTTCTAGCTCAAACAACCGTTACCTGCAGCTGTTTACTCGCTCACAGTCTGTCATTTCTTCATACATATCTGTTTCTGCTCAGCTTGCGTACTGTGCAAGTTGCTTGTTCTTGAGCTGAAACCCTGCCGAGGAGGATGCAGGGGTGATTTACCGAGAAGTTCTAGGACTGCTACTGGTTTGTCTGCATCATTAGTAGGGGTGGTTGTGGGCACCAATAACAGTGGCTCAGCATCCGCAGACAGCAAACTTGCAGTTTCGGCCATGTTTTCCAGAATATTTGCTGAGAAAAATAAGATAACCCAGGATATTGCTGAACTTCGTTCTCCCGTCAGCCTGTGCTTTGAAGCTTTCGAGACACGTCTTTCTGCTTTTGAGTCATCAAATTATATGTCTGGCGTACCTAAACAATGCTGGACGGCGTCAAGACGACCATTGAGTTCATTAACGACAAGGTAATCTACCTCGCGGCTCAAAATCACGACATGAAAAATGCACGGCACTGTGAGATTTCGATCATATATGAAATTCTGGTAACTCCAAATGATTATATGACATTAGTGAACACTATATCAAAATTTTTCACGGAAGCACTTCGCGTTGATTGCCCACAAATAGAAAAATGTCGTATGATCGGCAAACGTTTTGCAGGTCGTATACATCCAATTATATCAAAATTTATGGAATTCTGCGAAGACGCTATAATGCCTAAAAATGCGTTCAATCTGAAAGAATTTGGTGTACGAATACAAGAGCACTCCTCAAGCAACGTACAAACTATCAGAATAAAGCTGTAGGAGGCAACCAAATCTTACTGAAGTAGTGGCTCCTCGGTGCATATAATGTATGACACGCGTTTATTGAAGGTGTGCGCTACTGCCAGATCTGCATTCGAACACGACTGTGAGTCCTACAAATATTGTTATCTACTTCAGCTCCTGCTTGTATCCTTCAATTATATTCCCAGGACTTCCCTGATAAATATCTATGCTAGAAGTTAATATCTTTCCTGACTTCTTGTTATTATGTCCCTGATAAATACCTATGCTAGAAGTTAATAAATTTTCTGACATCTTGTTATTAGGTCCGTCTTTTCCCATATAATTGGAGTTAAAGAAACATGGTTTCATGGAGTGAAACGTAAGTGTCACTGCCAAAGTTTAATGTTACAAGAATTTATATAGCTGAAGGCAGAGAAGCACGGTAATTTGTACTTGCACTCTGACTTGAAGTTTTCTGTACTTGATGTTTCATTTCAGGCTGAGTCAGTTTCATGCCCCTTACTTTTCTTGTTGGCGTCTTCCACCCCTCATCTAACCAGATCTTAGGCTCTTTGGTTTGTTTTATTACATTTATCTATGAAATTGCACGACATGCGCCAAATATGACATGCATGGGTGATTTTAACGTAAGAGATGTAGAGTGGCCTTCGTCCTAATTGACGAATCTTGACTTTTAAGCGAGTAGAGAAGCTTTGCATATTTGGTTGGTCTTCATTGTAAAACAGTCAGTGATGGCAGAAGAGGTACGATGATTTTAGAAATCCGTGTGTTCTAATTTTTACGACAATAACCACGTGGATAATATTTTTATTGTATGGATACGTAACAGCCGCTACAATGCGGCTGCAAAGAAATAAAGAAGGACAAATGCAGTTTTGGTTGTTGACTAACTGGTGCCATCATGTTCGCAGAGCTTCGAGCATCGTACGCATATTAATAAAGAAGTTACTCGTAGCAATATTGGTGGAGGTGGACTACTCCCACAACTCAATCGAAACGCGCAGCGGTCGCAACGCCGGCAACCCATCGACGGCTTCGACTGCTGGTATACTTCTTCACCAACCTCTTCTACCCAAGCCATGACCTTCGTCACACTCCCGTTTTTCCGGGATTCCGGCACTTTCTCCGGTGACGGTGCCTTCAATATTGACGCATGACTGAACCGGTACGAGCGCGTCAGTGCTACTCACCGCGTGGATCGCATGCTCATGCTCGCCACCATGCTTTTCCATTTCGATTGCACTACGCGAACGTGGTTTCAAAGCCACTAATGCAAAATACAGAGCAGGCATTCTTATAAAGACAAGATCCGCAACCTGTTCAGTAATTCATTTGGTCGTCAGTTCGCTGCAAAGAAGACTCTCGGCACATGGGCCAGTCTTCTACCGGATCCTACGTCTCCTACATTCTTGACGTCTTGGCCCTTTGTAGCAAGGCTGACCAGTGCACTTCGGAAGACGAGAAAGCTAGCCACGTCCTAAAAGGCATTGGCGATGACGCTTTTAGCCTGCTGAATTTTATGGTCACGAGCACTGAGGTGATCCTCAAAGAATGCTGACGTCTCGAATACGCTATAGCCCGGCCAGCCGCGAAGCTCCCAGCATCGTGCGCCTTTTGAACACAGCGGCGACTTCGTATGATGACGTGTTGCACCAGGCCTCTCGATATGACAAACCCACGCATGTCACTCGCTGAGAGGTCGAGGCCACACAACAGGTAGCCATGCCATTTCAGACGCCTGTGCCTTGCCCGAATACGACCGGACTTCGCTGATACAAGCCGTCGTTCGTCAAGAATTATCAAATGTTGGCCCACATCCTGTTCCTCCCTTATACTGTGCTGAGCCTTTTTATTGACCCCCTTCTGCCCCTCGCCTTGCTTCCATCTATGCTCGTCAACGTAATCTATCCGAAATGGCGTACCTTAGATAGCAAGCCCATTTGTTTCGTCTGTTGAGGCCAGGGTTCCGGCTCACGAAGGGCTAGTTCTTGAACTGTCCACCACGTGCCGCATGAAGTTGAGCCCTCCCCCTCGTTCCCGCTTTTATCCTTTTACTATGATGCTGGTGAGTTTCGTGAGCAAAGTGGTTAGCCAATTGCAACCAAGAAGATTATTAGGCCTGCTCACTGTCACTTATTTTTCCCGAGCGAGCGCGCGTACGGGAGGCTGCAAGTCCATTGCCACCATCGTCTCCCGATAAAAAAAATAGTGTTCGTGACAAGTTTGCATGCTTAACAGCTTTATTCTGCCTTTTGGGTAAAAAAGGCGGTGGTTTGTTCAAGTAATGTATTGTGATTGAAAACGTTTGGAGATTTACATGTCAGCTATTTCTGCCATGAACAAGTGAAAGATTGTACGCTATCGAATGAGTGGTCGAACTATAAGAGCAAACTTTGATATACTAACAAAGTGGCGAAATAAATAAGGTAAACTGTATTCCTCTTTCATTTATTACACACACATGCATGCACACTTACTATTTAAAGCACGCAGAGGAGCTGTTTCTGCGTACTTTAAAAGTTTCTGCCGTTTTATTTGTACTATTTGGAACATCTGTCTTCATAGACGCTAGTTATTGTCGAGTGTGTGCTGCTGCCACAAATACATACTCAGCCCAATAACAGGGTGACGATCATTCGAAGAGAAAACAAAATCTTTCATTTCAAGAAAAATTTCTTCTGACCGATACAACGAACTTGTGACCTCTTTTGTTCTGGCCCCTCTCGCAGTGGTTCGTCGTCGGTGATATACCTTAAGGCCTCGAAAATATTTAATAAAGACCCCCAGTATGGGGTCTATATTAAACCGTGTAGACCAAGTAGGTGCTTCTACTTCACTGCCAGTACTTGGATCTGTATATATTTGGTAGGGATTCCTAAATATTCTAACGAGAAGTGGAAAAATCACAATCGTGAAAACAAATTGAGAAAGCGCTTTACCGTGTCAACACTCCTCTAGCTTTCAAGGAAACATATTAGGTCAAGGCTGACAGCAATAAAGTGGCAGAAACACCAGCATGAAAATACTATGCCCAAAACCGATGTACTAAGTAATGCAACAGCATTCATTCCAATTTAATCAACCAAGTAAACAGAAGTAATGCAAGTACGTGGCCCTAATTGCCAATAGAAAAAGGTTTAGGGACTCTTAAAGAAAAAGTCCTGTTCTGAACTTACTGCCACGCGCGTTTAGTATTTTAATGCCGGGGCTCACGACAACAAGTAAGAAGCACACAGGACATCTTTATTTTGGACAAACAACGGAACATGGTGGAAATAGTGCCATTGGAATGATTTAGAAATATGTACAACGGACGTACGTATGTATGTATGTACCTTCGGGTCACAAAGGAAGGCAATGCCGACGTGAGCTTGACGAACGACACGCTCCTATTTCATTCTTCAGTTGTCCTTGGAAAACGAAAACACTCGGAACTTGGTCCCTTTGCCATGACAATTAGAAACGCAGCATCGCTCAACCATTCGGATATACAGCTGTACAGATTGCGAATATCCCGTGCACAAAAATGTATGACTTATCTACTCTGCAGTTCACAGAAAAAGAAAAAGACGGTCTTCTCGAGTCACCAACATGCGCACCAGCACGCCACCAAAACGTTCATCGAGCTTGTCAATTTGTCTGTCGATCGACGAGAGCAAGCGAGGCACATCTGTGCAGCGAAACACACCAGTCAAACGGAGGGACGTCAGAGCCCGTTGCAAACACAGTGAGCCGGCCTGAAATTGTCTAGGTGGCATTGGTTAGTCACTCAACCTGTTCTCTCCAGTCGCCCGTCATTGTGGGAGCCAAAGTAAAGTGCCCTCGCCTCCAGCGCATTCTTCAGGCCGTGCGCTATGCTCCCTACTAGGCTGCTGAAATTAGCCGCTTTCTCCTTCTAACCATTACAACCACTTACGGTGTTTTTACTTACGGCGTTCAAGAGCCAGCTGGTGTGGAATACGCGAGCACGTTTCGAAGCAGCCATGCATTGTTTTTTTTTTCTTTCAGACTGGGGTCTTCTGTCTTTCTTTTGCTCGGATGAATTCGTGTCCTCACTGAAAAGTATAATAATGAAGAATTTATGTACGAAGAAATTAGGCTCGCTGAATTGAATATCTTTTAATTTTTTTATCGTCAGCTCTTATGCGTTGTATTTATAATTTCAGCTTCAATACTTATTTTGTGGCTAAACCATACGTTTCGCAACCATATAGTTAGTGCTCTGAGATCGCAATCTCAAGTTATCCCTTTGGAAGTTCTCTCAGTTTCTTATTTCTACTTAGCGCTTATTCTGTGCTTCACTGTACGTAAGGTGCTATATATATTTTTGGGGGGTGCTGACACCCCCTGTAATGTTGTTTGTGCTGCGTGGTGCAGGTGTCTCGCCCAAAGCCGCATTTCGGGTTACGAACACTGGGTGGTAGGTGGCATTGTGTTCACGTTTATCACTACTATTATTATCATCATGGTGTAGCGCCGACGGCGAGCCCTAGCGGAAGGCAAGCCTTGGTGGCAGGCGAGAGTTAAGCGAGTCTCTGTTGCGCATGGAGGCTGCCGTGAACGATTGTTTCTAGCGGGGGTCCTCGGCGCTTGGTCGGGGTCGTCGGGGCCCCTTGTGGTAACGGCCCTTACACGCGCTAGCCGCACACCAGCTCCGCACACCCGCACCACACAAAGGGCTAGAGCGGCCGTCTCTGTGACGTCTTGCAGAGCGGCTCTCAACTCTTTAAAGCCGCCAGCCGGCTACTGCAAAAAACGGCCTTGACGGCCGCCCCGTCAGCTCGCTTGGCAAACATGGTGCTGGCTGAAGTGGGCGCTGCAGCGACATGGAACAAAAAGTACAGCGGATTTTATCGTTGTGACTATCGTATGCACTGTGAGACTCCCGGTGAGACATCAGTAGCCAGCTGGTGTTCGCTGGCCCGTCAGGGCGTCCGATCGACAACGGAAACGAAGAAACGAGCGCAGTGTAGAAAGTGTGTTTGCAGATGTGAGCGTCGTCGCTTCGTGTGTTTCCTGGGTTGTACCATCCATCTTTCAAGTGTAATCGCAAGAAACTTCAGATAATTCCGTGATGTAATCATCCCTCTTTCCAGAACAGGATATGCGTTCAGTGCGCGTCGGGAGTGTTTTGTGTGTGCCGTTCGTCGCAGCATATAGTTAGCATAAATTTTGAACGCTTGCGAGCGTTAGCTTCTGCCACGATAAGGCACGACAAGTTTTATTGCCCGTCGTTGTTGTCATTCGTAGTGCGCAATGCCATACGAGTGCTGTTGTGTGTAGCGCTGTGATGAAGTTCCGTGGACCGTGTCACATTTGAACGATTCTGTCCAGTGTTGTGAAGTGTGTTCATGAGATGTAAACCGTGAAATATTTAGGAGTGTACAGCTCAGTTTCCAATTCGTGTAGTTGCGTGCATGTGCCCTGAAGAGGAGCTTGCATACAAGACATTTTTGTGCATGCAGCCCCCTTCCCCCCTTTATTTAGGGTACGCATTATGATCGATTGTCTATGAATGCGTGAAATAAGTTATTGTACACCAAGTTTAAAGCAAGTGTAAAAGTTGCAATAAATTGTCAAATGGTTGACAGTAGCTGCTAATTCAGTATGAATAATTTTGTCCAGATTGCAGGCAGTCATGCTACATTACTTCAACACCATGACAACATATCTAATATGCGATGGTTATCTGCTTGCATCAAGCATTGGAGGAAGAGTTAAACAGTATTTTCGATATCCTGCCGAAACGCCCATGTCTGTCTTGTTCAACATGCCTCTGTCATCATCAAAAATATTGCGTGTAGCAAAATATTTCAAGCGCATGTAAAATCAAGAAAACTTTAGACAAGAAATATGCCTATTATCGTTAGCTCAGTGTTTGATGTCTGTTTCTTCCTAATAGTGCACAGAAACTGAAAAACGTACGCTTTGTCTCCAAAAAAGGATGCCATCATCAGCTAAAAATATTTTATCAATGAATTACACGAATACGATGATAATTCATCATTCTTGTCAGCAGTACATATTTTGCAATTGGTACAAAGTAGACGAAGGAACTTGTCGGCAATCCTGTACGCTGATCACCTGTCATTGGCAGTTGTTGAGGCTTTTCGGGTAAATGAAATCAGCATATGCTTCCAAGCGGGCTATAATGAATAAACCCAGCTATATGTGCATGTTTTTGCGGGATAGTGTTCAAAGATTTCTGGAGAAAGCTGGAGCTATTTTACTC